CACAGACACACCCAGAAATAATATTCAGGCAAATATCTAAGTACCCCATGGCTGTCAAGTTGACATAGAAAATTAACTATCACACACACATTTTTTAAAATAAATAGCCCTTATTTTTGATAATTTGTTTTAATTCTAGACTCACAGAATCCCCCCTCAATCTCATTTCTAAAGACTCAATGAGCAAGAAATTTCAGGATTCAGACAGCTGAATCAAACTAGACTACTGATTCTCTCTCCTCCAATACCACATAAATTAAAGCACACATTTCCAAAATAACAAAGTTCACCAGTAGTACTCAAAAAAAGGGCAAAGACTAAAAATATCAACCCCTCTAAAAAAAGTTACCAAAAAAAGTACTCAAAGCAGAAGCAGGCTGCATGGCATGTAAGTCCTAACCCTACCCCCTCACATACTGGTCATAGGCCAGTCATCAAAATCATGACATTTCTAATACCTCCACATGTTCGTTTTCTATTGGTGCCACAACAAATAACTGTAAATTTAGCAGATTGAAACAACACACGTTTGTTGCCTCACGGTTCTGTGGGTCAGGAGTCCAGTGAGCTCAGCTGGTTCCTCCGGCCCCATTTTCACAGTCTGAGATCAAGCTGTTGTCGAGCTGGACTTGTATCTGGAGGCTCTTAGGGAGCTTCTCTTTCCAAGGTCATTCAAGCTGTTGACTGAATTCAGTTATTTGGGCTGCAGGACTGATGTCCCTGTTTCTTTGTTGGCTGTCAGCCAGGAGCCTCTCTCTCCTCTCCTTAAAGCCACCTAAACTCTTCTTGTTGCCCCCTCCATCCTCAAACCAGCAGCTTCCCCCTGAGTCGTCCTCACAGTTTGAATGTCTTTGACTTTTGATTTTAACTCAACTCTTCTTCCTCCAGCTACAGAAAGTTCTCTGGATAAGATTATCAGACTTCCAGTCAATATGGGGGCATAGGTAAATAAGACTCGCCTCCTTGCACAACCACATCACAATTACAACTAAACTACAGAACAACCATCACTCAGAACCAGCAGAAATTGGAAATCATACAACTACAAAATTAAAGAAACCATACCTATACAGACTGATAAGAGGGGCAGATAAACAGAACAAGCTGGTCATACCTACATGTGGTATGTAAAAATTCAGGAGGGATAGCTCAGGAGCAAGGAGTCCCAGCCCCCCACACCAGGTTCACTAGCCCAGGATTCCAATGCCAGGAAGATAAATCCCCATATCTGGCTGCAAAAACCAGTATGGATTGAGTCAGTGGAAGAAATTTCTGGAATCCCAAGCAGTTCCTCTTTAAGAACCAACACAAGAACTTACTCACTCCCTCTAAGTGAGTAATAGCAGCACTGGAATAGAAGCTTGAAAGGCACCAGTGGCAAAAAGGGGGGAATTGAAGTGTCCGGCATCGAGGTGAGAACTGGGGAACAGCTTTCTCCCAGACAGAAAGGTGGCAGGTGGGCACCATATCTTGGATTCTATCAACCTGGCTAACACTGTTTGTCCCACCCTGGAGGTCCCCTGAAACTCTGTCCCACCCAACTTACAGCTGTTTACAGTAGCTTATCTATATGATTGGCTACTCTTAGCCCATTCTTCAGAACTTCATAAATCCTTTCAAACAAGCAACAGCTGGCCTGAGTGAGCTCCCAGCCCCCTACTTCTTGCTAAGTGGCCCTAGGCACAGCATTAGCAGCAGCCTAGATTCACAGCTTGGCCTTGCCTGGAAATCTAGTAGCAGCTATCTCACACTGCTCTATAGCTCAGGCAGGGTGGTCCTGGGCAAAACACAGGTCAGGGTTGACATTGGCCTGTACCACCTGGGAAATCCCAGGGCCTGTGCACCCAGTGGGCGGCTACAGACCATATCAGAGCACCACCATCCTGCCCCGGCACAGCTGATTCTCCATGGAAGACAGAGGTTGGTGGTCAGTGGTCACACCCAATCTTTCCAACTGACTGGCTGGGTAAACCCCGCTCATTGACCTTCCAACAGCAACCAAAGCTCAACTACAAAAGGAAGGTATACTTGGCCCATAGAAAGGCACACCTCAAATACCCAGCTTGGATGATAGAGGAGGCTGTGCCACTAGACCCTACAGAACGCCTACTACATTAGGCTGCACTTCCAAGATATGGGTCAAAGCAGTTCTACCTAACAGAAACAAACACAGGGAAGATGCCAAAACAAGAAGACAAAGAAACATGGCCCAAATGAAAAAACAGATCAAAACTCCAGAAAAAGAGCTAAATGAAATGGAGATGAGCAATTTCTCAAATGCAGAGTTAAAAACACTGGTTTTAATGACACTCAAGGAAGTTAGTGAGGACCTCAACAATATATGAAAGATCCAGTTAGAAACAAAGGATACACTAATTAAAATAAAGAACAATTCACAGGGAAACAACAGTAGAGTGAATGAAGCCAAAGATCAAATCAATGATTTGGAACATAAGTATGCAAAAACAACCAATCAGAACAAGAAGAAAAAAGAATAGAAAAAAATGAGGATAGTGTAAGACACCTCAGGAACAACTTCAAGAGATCGGACATTCATATCATAGGACTGCCAGAAGGAGAAGAGAAAGAACAAGAAATCAGAAATCTCTTTGAAAACATAATGAAAGAAAAATTCCCTAATTTGGGGAAGGAAATAAACATGCAAGTCCAGAAAGCACAGAGAGTGACAATCAAAATAGATGCAATGAGGCCCACTCTATTCACATAGTAATTAAAATGCCAAAGGTTAAAGATAAAGAGAGAATCTTAAAAGCAGCAAGAGAAAAGCAGTGTTACCTACAGGGTAGTTCCCATAAGCCTGTCAGCTGATTTCTCAGAACAAATTTTGCAGGCTAGAAGGGACTGGCAAGAAATATTTAAAGTCATGAAAAGCAGGGACCTACAGCCAAGATTACTCTACATGGCAAAGATATTGCTTAGAATCAAGGGGAAGATAAAGAGCTTCCTGGACCAGGAAAAACTAAAGGAGTTCATCATCACCAAACCATTAGTATACGAAATGTTAAAGGGAATTATTTAAGCAAAAGAAGAAAATCAATACTATAAACAATAAAATAGCAATAAATACATATCTATCAACAATTTAATCTAACAAACTAAGCAAACAAGAACAGAGAGAATCATGGATACAGAGAGCATTTTGATGGTTGCCAGACTGGAGCAGGGTATAGGAGAATAGGTGAAGAGATGAAGGGATTAAGAAATACAAATAGGTAGTTACAGAGTATGGAATAGGAAATGGGGTAGTCAAAGAACTTATACATATGACCATGACTTGAACAATGATGAAGGGATTGCCTGAGTGAGGAGGGGTGCTGGTGGAGGGAGTCAAAGTGCAAAATATTGGGACAACTGTAACAGAATAATCAATAAAATATAATTTTAAAAAGGTTCTCTGCTTTTAGCAATTCATGTGATTAGATTAGGCACTCTTGAATAATTCAAAATAATCTCCCGATTTTATGGCCAGGAACTTTAATTATATCTGCAAAGTCCCCTTTGTCGTGTAACACAACATATTCACAAATTTGGGGGATTAGGGTACAGATATCTTTAGGGGAGGGAGGGGACATCCTACGGACCACACCCTATATTGAATAGGAGCTAAATGCAGAATGGTGAAGGTATCATCTTTCCCCTCTTCTGACTGAGGAATACCACAAATGATTTCTAGGGAGATATTGGTGAAAAAAATATCAGGAAACAAAATTCAGAGCTACCCACACCAAGCTGCAGACCCCACCTGAAATACAAAGTCATTCTCCCCTAGGGATGGAACACAACCCCCACCTAGGTGAGTGGATCTCGGCACGTCGCCACTGGTTTATACCACCTTGGACAACATAACAGAGATCAGGTCTTCCAGCAACAGCACCGTACCCTCTTAGCTGAGCTATTCCTCCAGGCTGCCGCTGTGCTTCTGTGCTTCCAAAAGTAGATGGCACTGACTGGTGTGGCTCAGTGGATTGGGTATCATTCCACAGACCAAAAAGTCACCAGTTTGATTCCCAGTCAAAACACATGCCTGGGTTGTGGACCAGGTCCCTGGCTGGGGGTGTGAGAGAGGCAACTAATCAAGGTTTCTCTCTCACACAGATGTTTCTCTCCCTATTTCCTTCCCTTCCCCTCTCTCTAAAAAGAAATAAAATCTTTCTTTTTAAAAAAAGTAGGTAGATCACACACAAACAAATCCAGTACCTAATCTGTGAAGCAGTGGAGGAAGTAAGTAAGTCAAAGGCATGGTAGAAAGGGGTGTAATAATCCTCCCACATTCTATGTGATCAGATAAAATTGCTGGGCACAGCCACCCAACCACGAGGAAGCCAGAAAAAGGAATGGCACTGCAAGCATGCAAGAAAGGAAGAAAAAAGAAAGAGAGCAAGGGAGTCAGGGAGGGAGGGAAGAAAGGGTTTGGGGGAGACGGGAGAACTGGCAGGTAGAAAACAAGAAAAAATATACCATAGATATGTCGCAAAAGAAAATTTTCCAAAGTGCTTGAAATTGTTTACAACTTTAACAAAAATGCTCACAGATTTTTTTAACGTATTGAGAAGATTGCAGGTTTAATAAAACAACTTGAGGACCTAATACTGATAACAATATTATCAAAGGCCTAATGAATAAATGTTTAAAATCAGGAAACGTACTACACGTACATGGCTGCAGATTGAATAGTTGACACGGACGAAGGTTGGAGATAGTCACAGTGAAGACAGGTGAAAAAGACAAAGACTGAAAGACTCAGTGGAAAACTAAAATGACGAAATCCGAAATCCGGGTGAAGATGGTCTGGCAAAATTGCTCTCTGAAGTAGGAAACCACACCCCTCCCCAAACAATGTAGAGATAATCACATGAGGAAACACTCATTTACACTTGTAAACACGGTACCGCAGACTTTATTCAGGACCATCGCATCAGGCATAGGGACCACCACAATGGGCCTTTGCAGTGGCGGGAGAGAGATTGGAGTCAACTCCCAACGCGGCCCCAGCATGTGGGAATTTATTGCCATGGAGCCGGGGAGGGGTCGGTGAATGGAAAATTACTGAGAGGAAAAGTCAGGGTACAGAGGATTCTGACGAACCTGACCTGACGGGATTCTTTGCTGAAGACAGGCCCAGGTAATTAGATGTCCCCTGGAGCACAGTGAAGGGTGAGGAGTGTGAGGGTGAGGATGTACCAAGAGTCAGGCTGGTTCTGGTGAAACTGACTTAGCAAGATTCTTTCTAAAACTGGATTCTACAAGCAAGGGCACAGATGGGCTTAAGAGAAGGTTCAGGAGCCTGACTAAAAATCTGGTCAAGCAAAGGGTCTTTGTCCACCTCCTATTCCCCTTGCCTTGTCCTTTTATCAACAGGAGAGGAGCTCTACTCAATTCTCTTACAGGAAAAAATATGGAACAACAATTTCATCTTTACTCTGTCCTTTCAATTTGTTCTCTCCGGGGATAGAGTGATTTATCTGATGGGTGAACTTGGAATTGAGGACTGGAAATGGTGGACGGGTACATTTTGGCCCTTGCTTCCGGTCCTTGGGTTTGTGGAGAGGCACAGCCTGCTCTCCATCGGGAAGCAAGTGAGAGGGCTTTCTGAGAGTGTGAGATGTGGAGAGTAAATCCGTCTAACTCAGGGAGAATGCCATCAATCCATGGGCCTCAGTCCACCAGTCACTGTTTCCAGCCTACAAATAATAAAGATAACATATTAAACTTCAGTAAGTCTGTCTGCTAGGTCTTATTTCTCTCTTGCTTTCAAGTTTGGGAGGAAAAGAAATGGGTGATATTTATCGGTCTTCCTAAATCCCACAAAATCATTTTTATTAAAAATACTCAGCCCTGGCTGGTGTAGCTCAGTGGATTGAGCGCGGGCCTGAAAACCAGAGTATTGAGGTTTGATTCCCAGTCAGGGCACATGCCTTGGTTGCAGGCCAGTTCCCAGCGGGGGACGCATGAGAGGCAACCATACATTGATGTTTCTCTCCCACTCTTTCTCCTTCCCTTCCCCTCTCTCGAAAAATAAATAAATAAAATAAAATAAATATTCAAAGATATAATACAGAAAATCTTTCTAAAATGAAGAAAGAATTTGAATATGCCAAGTAAAAGAGTCTATGTGTTTCAGACTGCAGCTCACTCACAGCTATCCTTTTTCACTGATTGAACTTCAAGGACAAATGAGAAAAACAGTCGTATCTCCCCATGGAAAAAGCAAATCTCTGAAGAGGACCCAGATCTCCTGAAGACAACTACCCATGAAATCCTAGAGGAAGGGTTTGATTTAACAGAAGAGCCAGAATCAAGTCTTTTTGTTTATTTCTTTGACGTTACACTGAGGCAGACTTTCACATTCTTCTCGATTATACAGCTATTTGCTCATGTTGTTTTTTAGTATGTCTGTTTTCCTTTTCTCTTTAGATGGCTCGTCCAGTTGGAATCTATTTTAGTTATCATGGACTAAAGGATGAAATGTGATCTTGTTCTGAGTTTTTAGAAACTGTCTCAATATAATTTTTAAATGATTTATTCTATCTTACATTGATTTGAAATGTCAAGTTAATGAAGATAATAAAAATACCTGTTGGGGGGTGACATGGGATGGGGATCAAAGGCAGAAAACTGTACTTTAACAATTAAAATTTTTTTAAAATATCTATTGAGAACTAGTTGATCCAGTTGCTAAATTCCCTTCATTTTACATCATTGACTGTAATGCACACAAACACCCACACATCTATTTCTGGACTTCCCACTCTGTTTCCTCAGATCAACTGTGTGTTCCTGGACAATAAGTACTATTCTTATTACTGTAGCTTTATGGTACATTTTAATACCAAAAAATGTAAATCCTATTTCTAAATGCCCACCCTCTCCCTACACACACACACACACACACACACACATTATTCTTCTACAAAATTTTCTTTAGCTATTTTCTCTCAGTAAATTTTCACAATGAACTTTGGGTGCATGAAATTGGGTTAATCATAATTCTTTGTCAATCAGACTTATTGCAATAGACCTACCTTACTTTATGTGAGTATTTAGTATTTATTCTATTATTGTTTAATAATGAAATGGATACCCATTAATCCATCACTCAGCCCACAAACAAGAACACTAACTGGCATTACCTACGTCCTCCCATCCTATTTTCTTGGCTGTCCATCCCACACATGCACCTGGAAGTAACCACTTTCCACAATCGTCATCCTTTTCTTACTTTTTAAACCATTTTTTACATATTAGCATGTTTCATCAAATACTTTACTTTACTGGGTTTGTTTTAAACTTTCCTTATTTTTTATTTTTTAAAACTTTTTGTTATTCTATTTCAGTTGTCCCAATTTTCCCCCTTTGTCCTCCTCCACCCAGTCCACCCCCCACTCCCACAGTCAATCTCCACACCGTTGTCCACATCCATGGGTCATTCATACATGTTCTTTGACTAGTCCCTTCCCCTTCTTTCCACCATTACCCCCCTCCCCACTCCCCTCTACTCACTGTTAGTCTGTTCCATGTTTCCATGCCTCTGGTTCTGTTTTGCTCATTAGTTCAAACATGTCCTATTTTTTAGTTATATTATTCTCATGTTTAAATGTATAAATCCAAATCAAGATCCAGAGTGAAACTGATACATTCAGTCAACAAATACATGTGGAGCCCTTACTCTGTACACACAACTGTGATAGAATTTAAAATCAAATGGCAAAAAAGATAAACCTAGTCCTTGTCCATACATGACTTAAAATCTGGGTGAAATATAAGCAAGTGAATAGATATTTACAACTCGGTATGTTAAGGGCAATTACGGAAAAGCAAAAGATGCCATGGAAGTGCACGGAAGAGACCTCACCTTGACTAAGATCTTTGAGAACGTTTTACGGAGGAAGTGACATCTTAGTGTGGGAGCGAGTCAAGACCTTTTCAGCTACCTTTCCTAACTCAGAACATATTAAATCCTCATCCCAGCCATCACAACTTCTCAGTTGTTACTAATACTATCTTATGCTTTATACTAGATACTTTCTATTAGTTTAACATTTTTGCACTTCATATTTTCACTCTCGGGGAAAAAAATGTTGACATTTACTCTTGGACTTTAACAAAATAAGTGAAATGTATCTTTTTTTCAAATGACTTCAACATTCATATTTATGCCTTTTAAGCTGTTATCTCCCTATTTTTCAGTCACAATTTTCCCTGGAAAATTCTGGTTACATATTTTCCCCTGAGCTCTATATTGAATTCTTCCTTCATGTCTTTAGGGACACTGTTATATTAATTACCCCTTGTTGACTGTATCTCTAGCTCTCCCTGTCTTTCTAGCTCTTTCCATTCAGCATATAAATATTAACATGTTTTCTGTTTGAAAAGTTCTTGCTCTTATCTTGGTTCTTGCAGCTACAACCCTGCATCATTCTCTTCATGGCCAACCTACTTCCCAATTGAAAAAGTTGTCTACGTTCTTAAGTCCCTGCTTTGTAAGTGCCTTCCTGCTCTTCCAACCACTGCCAGAAGCCCATTTCTGTCCTCACCTCTCTCTCACCAACACCTTCGAAGGCCTTCTTGTTGCCAGATTCAAAGACTTTTTAAAAATTTTTGTTATTTGACTTCCCTTCCACACCCAACTCTCAAGGACGTCTCCCTCTGTCACCAAATTTTCTCCTCAATTGGCTTTCAAGAACCTTTCATGGGTTTTCCTAACTTTCTTGCCCCTCTACTTTTTCCCTTCCTTCCATCATCTTTTAAGTATTGAGGTTCTCAGGCCTTTGAATAGGCCCTCTCTTCTCAGCTCTTCTGTTCTCAGACTCACACATTGCCTAACTCATATTATATAATCTCCAAGGCACCTACATGCTAGTGGCTCAAACTATATATATATATGAAACCAAAATCAGTGCTCTATGCTCCAGAATACTATATCTCATTATGTTTTTATATCTTCACTTGGATGTCCAATAAACATCTAAGTTCAGTGTGACTTTCTTCTATACCCTTTTCATATTGTCTTGTGTCTGTATTTCTCTCCTCCCAAACCAGCATCCTAAGAACCATCTTTGACACAGCCTTCTTGACCCACATGGTCAGGCATCAAGTACTATTATTCCTGCCCTTCAAGTGTATACCTTCTCTAACTCCCTGCCACTGACTTAATTCAGGCTCCCACAATTCACCAAGTGGATCATTATCAAGGTCTTCTGCTGTCTCCATTCTTGCTTCACTCCAATTCATTAATTGGATTCATCACAGAATGTTTTCCCTAAAACACAAACATGGTCCTGCCACTTACACATTCACATTTTCTAACCATTCTTCACTGCCCTGAACACAAAATTCCAACACCTTAACCTGGTACGCAGACAGTTCCTAATGTAGCTCCTTCCACTCATTGCAGTCTTATCGCAGCCCCATCCATACACACAGTCTCACACAACCATTGTCCCTAACGAGGAAAAGTTCCCTCTAACTTAAAAGCACAAAACCTACCTTTCCGTCTTTAGCCGGCCAACTCCTACTTATGCTCTCAGATGTCTCATATACTGCTGCCTATCCTTCCCACCAGGAGACTGTGCCTGACAATTGTACCGCTTATTATCAGTTACATATTTTCTCAAGTGCTTATATAGCTCTTATAATCAATTTTATTATAACAGTTATAATATTTAAAAGCCTTTGATGGTCAACTAGGAATCCAATGAAGTTAGGAATCATGGCTTAATAATATTTCTGCCCTGAGGGCCTATCACCAGTACCTTGTGATCACGATGTAGATGCATAGCTTTCCGTGAAAGAAAGGCAAGTAGTTCAGCACAGATGAGGATTTACAGAAAAATGAGCAGATCATGAGAGATCTTGTATGTCACATAAGGTCTTCCAAAGTCATCAAAGTCTTTTCAGCATGAAATGATTTGATCCAATGTACATGTTTAGAACCTCATCCTCATGGCCATGTGGTAAACTACTAACAGAAGGATAGAACTGGATGAACAAGAGGCTTGAAATGATCCCAGTGAAAGATGATGAAAACCAAGTTCATGACGGTGAGGATGAAGAGTGGAAGACAGACATAAAAGATATTTGAGAAGAAATGGACTAAATGGCCAATCCAATAGACGGGTTAATGAGGCATTAAGAACCATCTCCAAGCTTCTGGCTTGACTGAATAGAAAGATGGATTATTCACTGGTAAACCATCAAATCATATTAAGCATAGGCTCCAAACAGGCAATACACCTACCAGGTGATAAAACCACAAGATAAATAAATAAAACATAGTCCCTGCCCTCCATAGCACGTAGTGAAAGACAAACCTGTCATGGAATGCAATAATTGTTATTCTAGACCTACAGGCACGGCTCTACAGGGAAAGAGGATTATGCTTCCCCAACTGTGAAGGCGAACGGAATAAACGCTGCCACTAGCTCATTATATCTGATATCTGCCACAATAAGGCTGAGACCCTGGCTCCCCAGATCACATCAGAAAAATGGCCACTGCTCCCCAAATCATGACTCTTACATCCTCACAACCCAGGAGTCAATGTCACTCCCAGAGAATCTGACATGTCCTATCAAGTCACTGCAACCTGCCTCCAGTGTGAATGGCAACAAAAAACCTTTTCCATCTGCTACTGCCCATGTGCCCATGAATTTCCCCCAAGGAACACTAATCCAGTAGGTTT